GCAGAATTGGGAGATGAAGTGTTTGTTTTGTTTTCTTGGTTGGCTGTTGTTTTTGTTTTTTTTTATAACTGCATACAAATTAGTTACTTTGGGGTCATATGTATCATGTTGGGGTTTCTACACTTCTTTGATTGGATTGCCCTGTTGTTTCAGTTTGAAATCTTCGCATCCTTTCTAATTGCTGAATTTAAATGTTCCAAATGTTCCAGTTTTTTATGAGCTCTAGGATATGCTCTCTTGAAGCGTGCTGCAGATCAGTGAGGTCCTATCTTTGACTAGGATTGTGTTACTTCTTGATTGACTTGTGTTTATCGTTGACACTTGTAGTCCTTAACAGAACCTCAGCAATTTGCTCGTTCAGCTAGACCAAAGCAGGATTCCAGTGAAGTGAAAAGAAAAAAGTAGAACATAGCAAAAGGTATGGATTCTTTGCCTAAAAATTACAGGGTTTTGTATTTCATTTTGTTGCCTTTTTTTTGTTTTATTTTTTATAATTGCTTTAGGAATAGTGACAGTGAAAGAGAAATACTCCATACAGTGTTCTTTTCTTAAATGAGCTCTTCTGTCAGGAAACCAGTTTGCAGGATGTGCAGTTGGTTTAAGATTAAAGATTGCTTCTTTCTCTGTTTAGAAACCTGGAGTCTATTATTTTCCTTATCTTGAGATCCTAGGATAGTTGTCTGTATTTTCTGATCCTTAATCCTGGGAGACTGGAATTTAGGGACAATGACTTCATGGAATTTGAGCACTTACATTTTTAGTAGTGTTCTGGGATTTTGGCTTCAAAAGGAGTGGCAGCTTTGCCCTTTCCTGTCCTTACTCAGCTGTAAAGCTGTTTCAGATATCAGTTTCCAGCAGTAAACTTGCTTCTGCCACCTCTGTCAATGAGATCTTAGTACTACTACTGCAGCATCTCTAAAGCTTGTTTGATTTAGGAAATGTTTGTGTTTCTGAAAGTATTACTTAATAATGCAGTAATTGAGACTTGCTTTGCTACGGAGTGCACAAGTGCTGGTATTTTTAACATTTGTCTAAATTGATGAGAAATTAACTTTCTGCTAAAAGTAATCACTTCATATCGTACATCTTTACTTCACTAGCGCTTACTCTTAAGTATTTGGTTTATGCTAAAGTAACTGAAGCAAAATTGTGGGAATTTTTGTGGCCTCCAAAAATTTGGGTTGTGAACTGTCTCAGATTTGCACCAGTTACTTCAGATGCTACCACAGAAATGCTCAGTTCTCAGCCTGCACTCTGATAAAGTAGCAAGCTCAAATTTGAAGAGCATTTTATCTGAATTACATGTTATGATTGAATGTCACTCTGGTTATCCATCTCCTTACCTCAGAACTTAAAGCTTCGGTTGAGTGCTTTAGAAAAGTACTGCTTACTCCTTTACGTTTCTTAATCTGAATGTCTTGGTCATTATTTAGAAAAAAAAAAAAAAAGATAATTAAAAAAACAAAAACAATTCTGAAGTTTGAAATGTGAACGACTGATTTTAATTTTAAAAAATTGTTTTCATTCCCTTGGTATTGTTATTGTGAGGGTAGTATTTCTATTAGTAATAGCTATCTTTTATTTCATAAAAGATGACTTGTTCTTACGGGTGTTTTTCTGTACTGTTTATTGAAAGCAGACGAATGAGCTTTGATTTTGAGCTGTGAGGAACAAGGGTGTGCAGAAGTGTTTCATTTTTTTTCTTATTCCTTCCTAGTTAAATAAAAAGTACTAGTTACATTTTCTCCAGGATGTGATAAGAATGTTATTAAAGTTGTTTTAAATGGAAAAAGGAAACTTGAAGTATTTTTAACTAGTGGGAAAGCTTTATATGTGAACTCTGAACTGTAATTCTGGCATGTCTTGTATTTCCAACCAGCTTAATGCATTAAATTTGATTCTGACTTTACCAAACATGCTAAATAATACTTGAATAGTGGAAAGAAAATAACCAGGTACTTACTATGTTATTAATCATATTGATGATCAACTCAGAAGCTTTTTTTTAAAATGTGCAAACGCTCAAGACATACCTGAACATCTGAAAGCCTGCGTGGGTTGCTTCAGTTTCGTGGCTTTAGTAAATGGTGCACAGGACTTCTTCCACATCTTCACTGTTTATATGTGACAGTCACATCGTGCACCACAGACTAATTGAAATCCCTAAGAATCCTAGGCTAAGTACAAATCACAAATTACTTGCACGCTAATGATGAGGCAGAACCCTTTTTCTGCATTGAATGTGTTTTCCTGTGTCTGCTGGAATAATCTGATAAATGCTAATTTGTGATGCAGAATTCCATTATATAAATCCGAAATCCATGCAGATACCTGGGGAACTTGAAGTACGATTTGTATCACAGTGTTTTTTTTCTTCTGTAAGAAAATTGAATTAAGAATTTGTTGATTAATTCATAAACATTATTTATTACTTTCTCTACAAATATTGTTTCTTTGGTAGAGAAAGCAACACACAATGGTTTATAAAAACACTGTGTGACTTACTGCTAACTGAAATGCCATTTTCTTGATGAACGACAAAAATGTCAGTTAGCATTTGGAGTGACTGTTTTTCTGTGGGTAAAATATAGTTTTTTGGTATAAGGATTATGTAAAAGAAACTGATGCTGAGAGGTCATCAGCTTTGTAGAGAAGAAGTGACCTGAAAGCCTGCATTGAGTGGAAGCGTGTTTGGGTTTTGGATCTGATGGAGAAAGTGAGTCTGTAAAATGTCAAAGACCTGAGGAAGAATTAATAAAACAAGAATCTGCTGTTGTCAAGTATAGTTAAAGTTATCAAAAGATGGATTTACTTTTGAATACAGAGTTACTGATGGTGGGTTCACCAGACTGGGTCAAAAGTATATTTATGAAGTTATACCTTTTTGTTTATGATAGGCAGCATAAATTTAATGTGTGTGCAATTTTGAGAATTAAATAAAATTAAACAACATTCTGCTGTTCTTCTTTAGAAACATTCCTGCGTATATACTGCAATAATACTGTCATGCAGAGTGTATCCTTTCTTGTTGTATCCTTTTATGTGCAATGTTTCCTATAGCACTCAACCACCTCTAATTTCTCAGCTAGAATAGGTTTGGGGAGGAGCTTATGCATTTTAAAGCCTGAATTAATCTAGCAATTTAAAAGTAGAACTTTTTCAGGGGGGGGAAAAAGAAGAGTTATCTCTTTTTATCTGTTATCTGTTGGGTGAATAGTTGAAGTGAACTTTCCTAATCTTAAAAGGTGGCTTTCACCTTTCTCTTCAAAGGTCATATCATTTATTTCATTTCTGATACAGTTCCTTAGCTTGTCTGAGCTAGAAGTGTTTCACTGGTGTGTGTGGAGCTGTGCTGGGCTCACAGCTGAGGATGTTGTTCTTAAATAAATCACTAGGTTTAAAGTATGTCACAAGGCCACGATTAATGTTATCGGAGGGTTGATGTGTTCTTAGAACATTTGATTACTGTTGTCCTACTGTATGAGAAACTGTTGATTTTCAGTTTGTACATTTGTCTTTTGTTTTTGAACAGCAAAATCCAACAGTGTCTCACAATGCAGTTACAGAGTTCAGAATTGAATTATTAGTCATGGTTAACATTTTTGTTGTTTCTTTGATTGTTCTCTTCAATGAGGTGGTGTTGGTGATGGTGATTTTTTTTATTATTATCATTTTGTATTTGCATTATCATTTTTCATTTACTGTAATACAAAACTAATACATCCTGTACCTGCTAAGTCAGTTTTTTTCAGATACTCAGAAGTCTTACAATCTCAACCATCTTTCAATTTAGTTGTCAAAAGAAAGCATGTCACTGCTAGGATCTAGTTGTTCACGCTGTTAACACACCTTTGTGATGTTCCAGGTTCCTTTTGCATTCCATCCCATCCACGAGTTCTCAAGCCTGGCAAGGAAGCAGTACAACCATCGGGACTCTGGAACTGTGCGTAGAGCATTTCTAAAGTACTTGAGGCAGAGTATAAACTTCCTCATCTTAAAGATTCCAAGTATGTTTGTCAGAAGGCTTACATGATAAATGCATGTTAGTTTGCTTTTGAAGTCTCTAATAAATTATTTCTTTTCTCTCAATGTTATGTTTTTCTTTTGTTGGGAGGTTTGTGAATGGGAAGGAGGAGCAAGACGCAAATATTTTATTGCTATTCTTTAAGCTTTGGGATTTTTTTGTTTACCTTTTGCCCAAACTTTGTTGTCATTGTGTACAACGTGTTCAACATGATTTGGGGTGTATGTTCATAGGCACCACTATGAACTTCCTTAAGTCTGATGTTCAGCTCTTAATGAATGGTTCAGGGTAAAACAGCAAGTACATCCAAGGCTAATCTCATTTCAGTGTAAATGCTTTTATTTTTCTTGGAGACCAAACAGTACTAGTGGCGTGAATTCATGCTGTCTGATTACCGGTTTCCTCTGCAGTTACCACCGTGGTTTACTCAGGACCACGTTCCAAGGTCACAGCCCTTCTTTGCGGGGCAGCCCGGAGCAGCGCGCTGCCAGAGCTTGGGTTGGGGCGCCGTGCTGGGTGTTACTGACGGGTCGGTGTGGTACATGAAGGGCACTTACATTACATTTCGGGTAGCCGGCGCTCCGAAGGTCGCCTTTCCGCTGTCCCCGAGCAGGAAATAGTTTAGTCTGTCACGTCCTTGGTCACGGGCTCCTTTGCGTAAGCCGCTTGTGTGAGCGTGCTGCGCGAGCCTTCCCGCTGACGCGCGCCCTACCTGCGGGAAGGAGCGCCGGAACGGGATAAAAAGGCGGTGCTGCGCGCCTCCAAAGGCGAAGTACTTCATTTAAATTAAAAAAGAAAAACAACAAAAAGAACGCGCAGATGACCCGTTCTTCAGACTCGTCCGTTGCCAACCCGTTCCCACCGCGGCGCAGCTCCTCAGGCACGCGCACGGCTGCGGGGCGGCTCGGCGCTGCGGCCGCTCGGAGAGGCGCGTGGGGGGGGGCGGCGCCGCGAGCCGAGCGGGAGCGCGCGTGGGAGCGGCGTCCGGCACTGCACGGCCCTGCGGAGCTGCGGCGACCCGACTGTACGGCCCGGTAAGCACTGCGGGGGGGGCTGGGAGGTCGGTGCTGTTTCTCCGGCTGGCTGGTTTTGGTGTTTATCTGTTTGTTCCTTAATTTTTTCGCGGTCTGAAAATATTTTTGGCTTCAACGTATTGTTTTTCTCACCGCAAATAAATAAATAAACAAAAGCCCTGAACCAAAACCAATGCCACTCGATTCGGGAATAAATGAATATCTCGTGAAAGGTAAAAATGTGCAGTTTCTGTGGCACGTCTGCTGTTACCGATCAGATAACGCCGTGCTGGCACGTGGCCGGTACGGAGCTGGCGAGGTTCGCTGCGGCGAAGCTGCGCCGACTCCTCCGCGCTGAGCTCCGGGCGCAGCGCGGGACGCTCCTGCTGGGGCTGCTGAAGAAACGGTGCTCAAACGGAGCCTTGCTTTGAACTTGGGAGCAAGCACAGTGCTTAAAGATAAGCGTAGCGCTGCGGTAACTTCTGTAACGCCGACGTACCCCTGTTTTAAACTGTAGGAACGTCCTGGCTGCTGAGAAATTGGCTTTGATTGTGTCACGTGTGGCATTATTTACTGAATGGGTGACGCCAGGTGTGAAAGACAGCGATTAAAACGTGAAGTGCTCATTTAATATTCTCCCTATTCTTTTTACTATTCTCTTTATAAGCTAATTTTTGGTTGTTAGCGTTTGTGTTATTTTGGAGAATAACAGTTCGGTTTTGTACTGCAGACTTGAGCTGAGCAGGGAACCAGGTGTGGGCAGCGAAGTGGGAAGTGATGCCTTGAGTGGGATCAGCTCCCTCCGTGTTCTCTGAATTGCAGTCAGCTCTGCTCTCCTTTCCACCGGCAATGCGGACCTTTTGAATTGTAGAAAACAGACGTTTTGAAGCTAGAGCGTTCCGAGTGTGCTGGAGATTTCAGCGTGGCCCTTGTCTTAGTGTGCTGAAGCTGGAGCAGCTGTAAGTCTTATTTCAAAGAAATGAGTCCCTGTATTTTGTCTTCTTAAGCGCTAGGCCTGATGCTGTTTGAGTCAAAATACGTTGTTCTGACTGCTATGTGTAATTTATCTGACACTTGATTTTCTTATTTACTTTGAGCAACCAAAGGCGTGGATCTGTTTCCCTCCTGGTAATACTCAGTGGCTATTTTGTTGGTTACAATTTAGGTGTGCTCAAGCAGAAAGCATGAAAGCACAGAGCTGTGAACTTATGACCTGGTTGTTTTGTGTAAAAGTGTAGCAACACTGTTGTGATCAGGATGTGCTCTGATGTAGAAAACAACAAAAATATCAAAGCATGTGGCAAGGGGATAAAATCCTGCTCAAAAACCCTGTAACAAAACTGTGACTGGGACATATTTCTGCAAGCATACACCACCAATCTGGTAAATGGCATTTCTCATCAGAGAAGACCAAACTTTCCTGGCGTATTTTCAGTTAATGTATGCACTGGGACAAAGGAAACAACACAGAACTGCTTATGGCTGGAACTTACCTGCATACTCTATCAAAGAACTGTAAATAAACAATTCATTTACAAGCAGCAGATCAAGCTAAATTTCTCGATCTGAAATAACTCTGGCTGCCTGCAGGGTACAGTGACAGCTGATAGCAAGAAGATATTTTGTGCTTGAATGTGCTCCAAAGAGTGCAGCTCTGCTGAGAGCTGTGTATCTTCCTTTCCGTGAAATAAGAATATGAGAGAGAAAGGTGGGGTTTTTTTGGTTGGTTGCTTGGTTGATTTTTTGTTGTTGTTGTTTGCTTGTTATTTTTGTTTGTTTGTTTTAGAGATAGTATAAGATTTTTTTATTAAATGTTGTTTAGGTATCTTATATTGTTGTAGGTCAAAGTTTTCAGGGGTGCATTCTCAAACGTGTATTAAATTAGGAAAAAAAGCATGCGGCAACCCAGAGGGCCATGTGTTCATGTTTAAGCATTCACTGAAGTGTTTGGTTTCCACGTGGAAGTGATCAGGAATCTCCTTACTCCCTCCTTGCCTTAAATTGTTTCTGAGTTGCATGGTAACTCAGTCATGGCTTGAAGAACTGATTGAGCACCTGAGGAAAGGACCTGTGCCTGAGAGCACAGGTGAAGGCAGTTCACATGTGCAACGGTAAGGGGGTGGAGCCTGGCTGCACCTCCCTTAAGCCTCATTTAAGGGCTGACTGCCACTGTGGAAGGAGCTCTTTCTGGAGATTCCTCCTTTGTGGAGTTCTCTCTTATGAACGTAGATCTTCCAAAATGGGTGAGCAGTCCTTTTCCTTTCCTTTCTATCCTTTCTTACATCTTTCTATTGCTTTAGAACCTCTGTTATTAAACCTCTTGTATCACCTTTCCATCGTGTTGAACTTTTGGATTGCTATGTTTGGTGAACCAGTCATGCTAAAAATGTTGAAATGTCCTTTCTATGGAGTGTCTTTAAATGGGGAGAACATTACCCCCCTAGAGAAAACTATATCAGGACACATCCCAGGATTTCTGGGATCACCATATCACAAGCTCGTGGTCATACCTGACAAATGGGGTCCCCTGCAGTTTTGTGGAAATGTTTCTTCCCCATCCCACATAGCAGATAATTTCTGTGGATTAGATAAAGACATTGTGATCACAAAAGAGCGACAGCTAGATGCATCCTCCATGACATGGGCATTAAATTAATCAGAACTTCAAATAACACATTAGAGAATGAAAATTAATTGCTACGTGGTAATATTGAGAAGTTAGAACAGCAGCTTGGTATGTTAATGGGAAAGAAATCAAGCTTGACTTTCCCTATAAAGCAAGTCCTGAATGTTGCATTAAAAAATACCCAGGCTCAATGGACCTAGACTATTCAAAAGGTAAAGTTTCAAGATCTTATCTCAGAGCTCCACCTGAGAAGGACTGCTTTGAGATCCAACCTATAATAACACAAAAAAGAACAAAGAAAGCACGAGATAGACTGGCAGGGGTGCCCCTGACGAGTGGCCCACTGCTCCAACTCATCTGCGTGTGACAGCCCACCACTAAACAGCATCTGAATTAATGTGCTTAGTACAGCATAGGGAAAGTATACCAACTTAGCTTTTAAGATGATGGGACTTGGGGGCAGAAAGTGGTGTAGTTAATGGACCAGAAATTTCTAAACTGATATTTATCACCTCACACCATGCCCTTAGACTGAGATTATATGTCGCCATACAACACCAGGACCAAAATCATTTGTTGGTAGGTTGGTTAATGGCAGCATGCTGTGTTACTTGGCCTGATAAGGTCGATGTACCATTGCATATGGGCTTATGGCCTCTAGGGAGGACCTTCAAATATATATCTGTGAATTGGTCACGAGGGACGCAGTACACAAGGAGACGTTTGAAAGCCCAGATTTGGCAAAGTTGTCAGCAAGGGTGAGGGATTTGATTTTACAACCAGCCCCCTCCCACTCTTATGGGCGGGATGCGTTAGTATCTGTATTGAACCCCTGTGGTCTCGGAGGCCATCGTCCAACAGGCTGTCCAGTTGGCAGCCGATCTGGGGGAGACACAGCAGCTAAGAACGTAATGTTAGGGCTGTAGAAGCTGAGGTACTCCCAGTCGTTAAGACCAGGAAGGCTTCCCCACGGACACCCCGATCGGGCCCCATACGGGTGTCCCAGAAACAAATATTCATTGATCTTACGTGGGCTGGGGTACCCCTGCCGGTTTGACCGGCAGCCTAATCATACTTTATTTCAATTATGGAAACAGTTATGAAACAATCAGAAATTTCAAAGTACTCTCAAGAGAGCAGGGTTACAAATAATTTAACAAATACCAACAAGAACTTGGAACCTAGAGGACTTTGTGGTCCCTAATAGGGGGGAAAAGTCTCCTCAGATGACTTGAGCTACAATACCAGCGCCACCTGAGGAAAAAGACCTGGCTGTCAGGTGGTTTATGGCGTGACAGGGAATGTTAGTTCCCCTGTAACGAGGGCCTCCAAACCGGACTGGAGGCCATATGTCAAATTAATTATTTCTTGGTCCTGAAGAAGCGTACAACAGGTTATGGCACTGGTTGACATGAGCGTGGAAACTTCAGTCATTTGTGGTGATCTGACTAAATTCCAAGGAAACAGAGTAAGGATCAGAGGTTTTGGGGGACAGACTATTCCTGTCACCTAAATGTGGTTGAAATCGAGGGTTGGGCATCTCCCACCCCAAGAATATAAAGTGTCTGTTGCCCCACTCCCAGAGAGCGTCTTGAGCATAGATACGCTGTGGGGTATGACGCTCCAGACAACTGGAGAAACTCAAAAATATCTGGGTTTTCTTGGCAACTCTAAGGAACTTATCTCTCATGTCCTTTCTAAATAAGCACAGTGGGAAAAAAAGATACCTTACAAGAGTAAATAGTGATACAGAATACTATACAATAAAATATAAAATGAAATGCTAATTTCAGTCCACGTAAGCTATTCCCTTCCCAGTTGTGGTTGGTTTCAGCTTTGTACTATTAGAAATCCGTTGCACACTGGAGACGGCTTATATCAGACAGTATTTAAATTTTATCTTCAGAAAAATGAAGTTACCATTAAACATGTGAAATTGATACTAAATCAAAGAAATTGATGCATAGAAACTTAGCAGCAAAGTTTTATTACCACTGAGTCAGGTATTCCTTTTTAGCAGCTCTGGAAAGCACTGGGGATATTTGCACTGTAAGTGCTTCGAAGATTACGTGATTCAGACTTAATTATATTTCCACAGATAGTATATATTCATCAATTATACGTGAGACAGTTAACATATACGTGCCTATCTCAGGTAGTGATTTGTGCAGTTTCCAGTCTTCTATTCCATGGTCTTGTTTAGCATCCTATTAGCATCGTGACGGTCCAGCCCGACAGCCTTTTACTTCATTCGGTGATCTTCCTTGCTTGTTTCTTAGATTAACTTTCTTCATTGACGTATGCTCAGTAGGAGAATGCCTATTATAAGTAAACTGTAGGTACCAAAATTGTAACATTTGCTCACTCGGCTTGCTTCTGGACTTGTCCCTGGATAGAGATAAATTTGGCAACCTGTCTTTTATGATACATAGTTATTAATGATGTATACTGGGGTGTTAACCTGTCTTTTAGCTATGTATATAAGATAAGGAGGATAGAGGGGTGCATCTTGATATCTGCCTGTTGCATCTCAACCCAATCCCAGAGTGAAACAATTCAGCCTTGCATGGAGGTCCTGGCTTTCATTATTGTGTTTCATTCGCTGAGGGTCTCTTGTCAAAATAGAACAGCCTTACAACATGCTTTCTAGTCTATAATTCGTTCACAACTGAATTCACATTCATAACTGGTTGCAACATGTAAAAGCTATTATGGTTTTGCAAGCAAGAATTGATCACATATGGCAACGATTCAACAACTATATTTCTAAAAATTCACTATTAAAATTTTTGATATTTCTACTTTTTCAAATCAGCTATTTCTAAAAATGTTTTACAAAATATATTGTGGCCTACTTCTTTAAATCAGTATGGCTTAGGCAAAACCAGTTTTCAAACAGAATTAAAAGTAAAAATAAAAACGATGCCAGAGTTTACCACTGAAAAGTAAACGTCTGTTTTGTAATGTGCACTTTACCCTCTTACAGGAAAATAAATATGCTGCAAGAAGAGCTTAGCTGATCACAGAACACACCATGGGCGTCTATTTTCTTGCATTCATTGTGGGGCTTTGCTGGGCACAGTACAATCCCAACACTCAGCCCGGGAGAACGTCTATCGTGCATCTCTTTGAATGGCGCTGGGCCGATATTGCTCTGGAGTGTGAGCGCTATTTAGCTCCTAATGGGTTTGGAGGAGTTCAGGTATGTATATTCCTATCCGTAGGTAGTGAGATTGTTTTGTAGATGAATGCTTCTCAGATTAAAATGTTCAGTTCACCCAAGGACAGATGATAAGGAAGAAAAATAGAGATTGTTAATTGTAAATGCTGACGGGTATATTCCTCGGCTGCCATCATTTAAGAGTAAATTTGTTTAATCACTCCAAAGCACGCATTTTGCTCTCTATGCTATTACATTTGGATGAATTAGAATTCCTTACTGCTGACTAAATCTTTTTTTATTGTTTTGAATAATGTATATTTATCTGCTTGATGTTATATAAATCAAGGGAAGTCCCTTAAGAACTGGACAAACAGTCTACTAGAAAGTATGATATACAAAAAGCGTTCCTGAAGAGAGTACCAGAGTGGTGAAGGTTAGAAATAAACAGATAAGCACAAAAGGCTGCTAACTGGGTTCACCCGGACTGCCAGGTTTCTCTCTGTAAAGCACGTCAGAGCGAGTCATTAAAAGACCATGCTTGGCAGGAACTTGGGTGAGCAAGCGGAAATGAACCGAGCACAAGTTCTGGTGGAGGTGTGTTGACGAGAATCTGTGACGTCTGAAGAACAGACGCGTGCTCCTGTGGAACTAGTACCGCTGTATTGATGGGGTATTACGGCTGGAGAGTAGCCGGTTATTAAACTGCTTCTGTTTGTTTGATCGGTGAGAGAATGCTGCAAAAGTCTGCTAATTTCTGGTAGCCCAAGAACTTGAGAACTGGCCTGAGTGAGAAATTTCACGTAATTTTAAAATAATGCAACCTTCTTTCCAGACACATGGATCTAATTGATTTTAAACTGATTTCTCAGGCTGTAATATATATTTGGATATCTTTTCCATCCATACTGTGGCAGGATCTCAGAATGAAAGGTTTATTCAGATTCAGACTTGCAAGTAAAGTCCAATGAATTTTAGTGGAGCGATGTTACCAGATATTCTGCAGTCTGTTCCTTCCTGGTTTTGGACTTTCTCCACTGTCCCGATCCATCGTGTTTTACATGATTCTTTTGATCCGTGAGGTCGGCATTCTCAAAAATGATTAGGATCTGTCGATATCCATGGACATCATTTTTAGAGAATGTTTTCAACTACTGAATGTCTGGGCCTAAGTCTTTTAATTGTAGCCTGCTACAGTTTAAGTACAGTATACTAAGGATCTATGTAGGTTGTGTATTGCGATTAGTTTTCATTAAAGGGACTGATCTGTTTTTTGTTTTTCACGTTCTTGCTCTAACAATACTGTGAAAACATATCGAAAACATTACTGGTACCATCTTATTCACAGATTTCACCTCCAAATGAAAATCTTGTCATTGCTGATCCCTCACGTCCATGGTGGGAAAGATACCAGCCAGTCAGCTACAAACTCTGCACGCGATCGGGAAACGAAACTGAATTTAGAGACATGGTGGCCAGGTGCAACAGTGTTGGTGTAAGCGCATAGAAAACATTCTGGTGTTAGCAGAAAGGATTAGTGAAAGGATATAGACACCGGGTAATTTAGAAGGTGTGGTAGCAGCGGACTAAAGATTTTTTTCAGTTCACTGAGGTGCGTGTTGTATCGCCGTTGCTGTAAATAAAAGTATATTACAATGTTGGGGGAGGAGGCCAGCGGAAGTAGAGAGATATGGCAGGAGACAAGAGGAAGAGAATGTTATTCAGATAGTGGTGCTGTGAGAAGGAATGTTCTTAAATTGAAATTCGAGTATTATTCTCTAGGTATATGTTTATGCAGATGCAGTAATAAACCACATGTGTGGAAGTAATGCTGGTACTGGCAATCATTCTACTTGTGGAAGCTATTTCAATGCTGAGAAGGAAGATTTTCCAGCTGTGCCATATTCTGCCTGGGATTTTAATGATGCTAAATGTAAATCCAGAAGTGGAGACATTGAGGATTATCAAGATGCACCTCAGGTAAACTTAGTAACACATTTTTACATCTGTGTGTTCTTGGGCTATTCTTTGTTCCTCTTTACTGACAGATGTTGTATAGAAGAATAAAACTGAGCTCACAGAAAGCCATCCTAATTGATGATAATAGAGGTTAGCATTACTGACATGAATTCCACTTTATCCAGAGCTAGGGGATAGTTCTACTTGAGGCAGTTTAGGCGTGCTTTCAGATTTAAATTATGTGCTTAGGTACTTTATAAAGACAGTTTTAAAGATCATAAGATCTATTTAGGAATTCTTTTGTTTATTACGTTTTTTAAAAAGTAGGAGTTACTGTTTACCTCTTGCTCTAATTTGGAAGTTTTATTTGGTCTCAATTTCAGAAGAAAGAGATTAGCATTTCTTAATGCAATTTTACAAATAACTGGGTGTTTTTGTTCTCGTTTTCGTTGTTTTTTGTTTGTTTGTTTACAACAGTGTCTTCTGCCTTTCCAGTGTACTTTATTATTCCTGAATCTAAGTTTAGGGTCGAGGGTGGTTGAAGAAACTGCAGGAGGATGGGAGGCATTGAACATCCCTATAGTCTTGAGCAGCTCCAAAGGATCATCTGTATTGCCGGTTCTTTAGTACAGGTTGCAACGTAGGCTGATGAACCTCGCTGTCTCCAGACAGATGTACGCATAGCTATGGAAATCCAGCATGAAATTTACTGAATACACATTGAATATACAGAAATGCTTCTCTAAACTATTAGTTTGATGAAAATCTATGCCTATCATTTTTTATTTACAGGAAATCAAAGCAGAAAGGGTGTGAGAAAACAAGTTGTTTTTTTTTTTTGTATGGCTTTATAGTTCAGTATACTTCCGAGTTTTGAAGTATCATTTCTAGAAATCCTTCCTGTATCACAGAATTAATGAGTGCACTTGAAATAGTAATGAATCTGCACGTTAATATACTGGAGCAAAAATAATATATCTTTGCCCTAATCTAGCATTAAGAAATTAATTAAGGTTTTAGTATTTGCCTCTCTGATACGTTCCTTTATCACTTACCCACGTGTTGGGCAATTGAGGATTTCTTAAATGCTCTTTATATGTAGAAAACTGTCCAAAACAACTGTGTGTGTTACCGTCGAAGGTGTAAGATGTGCATTGCGAATGATGACTAGTGAGGGTTTTCTTTTGGCATTATAATGTAGACAAAGAAATTCAAAGAGAAGTATGCAGAATAATCCGTTTAGTTTACTATGGAAAAATGTTTAATTTTATAATTTTTATACAGGTCCGAAACTGCCGCTTAGTCAGTCTTCTTGATTTGGCCCTGGAAAAGAACTACGTGCGCTCCAAAATTGCAGAGTACATGAATTACCTCATTGACATCGGTGTAGCTGGGTTCCGGATTGATGCCGCCAAGCATATGTGGCCAGGGGATGTGAAGGCAGTTTTGGATGAGCTGAAAGATCTAAATACGAAATGGTTTTCTGCAGGAGCTAAGCCTTTCATTTATCAGGAAGTAATCTTTATTTTCTTAATTTTACTTTATGTGCTTGTTTATATAGCAGCAGCATACTCTCAGTTTAGCAACTTAAGGGTGTTTTGCTTCTGATAGTTCTGAGTACCCTTCAGCTTCGATATAAAATGATGTCAATGTTTAATAATCATAATTTTAAATATCTAATGTGACTGCAAGTCCTTGTTGACATGAAAAATGCATCAATTGTTTTGGACCTCCTGGCGCTAATTAACTGGGAAATTTCATTTGGGATGTAATTTACAGCACTGAAGTAAACGTAAAAATTGAGTTGATTTAAAAAAAAAAAAAAAATTAAATTCTGAATTTTAAATTCCGAGTGCCTAAATTGTAACAGAAGGTATAAATGATGATGATGGTCTGAAACCGCATAGGCAGCATGATCTGGGCAATCCCAGTTTTTTTTTAATTATGTTTGAGTAACTAAAAGTAGTATGAAGAGCTAAGGTAAAGGTCTGCAGAAGCTAAAGTTGTCCATAAATGTTATTAAAAGTGTGTGACCTATAAGATCTAATGCCACTAGTGAAATGTTGTTTAGCTACATTAAGTAAACAAGAAATGGGCTTGCCTGCAATTCTATGTGCTGAAATCAGAGGCATTGGTGAAAGATGAATGGTTATACTGCCTAGGCTGTAATAATTCAGTACTGATTCATCACAGAAAGGAAACTGAGGAGGAAAATGAGAAAAAGCTCACAGTTATGCTGAGAGAACATAAAAAAGGCTAAAATGCAATTTTGAAAGGAAATGAAGTAATATTCTTATCTCGCATACTGACTTTTCCTTAAAACAATGTCTAGGACAGTGTTTTTTACCCATTAGTGTTTTAGCAGCAAGGAATGTTCTTTTATGTACCAGGTAATTGACATGGGAGGAGAGCCAATCACAGGCAGTCAATACTTTGAAAATGGCCGAGTGACAGAGTTCAAGTACGGTGCAAAACTGGGGACGGTGATCCGCAAGTGGGATGGAGAGAAGATGGCCTACTTAAAGTAAGGGCGAACGTCCGAGTGACCGATGTGAGATAAGCTGGATGCGTGACATGAGGGGGGAGAATCAAGTCCTTGTGTTTTTCTCTAGGAACTGGGGAGAAGGCTGGGGCTTTGTGCCTTCTGACAGAGCCCTGGTCTTTGTGGATAACCACGACAACCAGCGGGGGCACGGGGCAGGCGGAGCTTCCATTCTTACCTTCTGGGATTCCAGGTGAGGAATGGCGGTGTCTGGATGATGACGCTTACTATTCTCTTTTTTGGTCTGTCGCTTCTTTGGCGTCGTTTCTCTTCCACGTTCTGTTACATTTTTTGTCCAACAGGCTTTATAAAATGGCAGTTGGTTTCATGCTCGCTCATCCGTACGGGTTCACGCGGGTGATGTCAAGTTATCGTTGGCCAAGATATTTTGAGAACGGAGAGGTGAGTTTGTAGCGCTGAAGATTCTGGGGTGTCAAACGTAAATGATTTCTCTGTCCTGTGCTGGATCTGCCAGATGGACTTTAGAAACCGAATTTATCTTCTCTCTCGGGATACTCTCTGTGCGTTTTCCAGTAAGGACTTTAAAAAGTTTTTTTTTTTGCTTAAGGATGTCAACGACTGGGTTGGACCACCGAGTAACTCGGATGGATCGACGAAGTCCGTGACAATCAATGCTGACACTACCTGTGGCAACGACTGGGTCTGTGAACATCGCTGGCGACAAATAAGGTGGGAGGAAAACGTAGGAAAAGCAGTGACTCTTGGGTCACGCGCCTCGTGGCCGTAGAAGTCCTACAACTACAGCTCTTTTTTGCATTTTCAGGAACATGGTTGTCTTCCGTAACGTGGTAGACGGTCAGCCTTTCTCAAACTGGTGGGACAACGGGAGCAATCAAGTAGCTTTCGGTCGTGGCAACAGAGGCTTCATTGTCTTTAATAATGATAACTGGTGAGTTGGTGGGATAGACTGTGTCCCTGGAGAGAAGTGCGGCTCCTCAGCCGCGACTCTGAAAGAGCTTATGTGTTAGGAAGAGGGATTGTCCTTCACATGGAGCGCAGAAAAGTGAATGGAGAATGTCAAAAGTGGGGGTGAGGTGTCTGATGTGAGTGTGTGAAGATGTAAGAACTGCTTCTTAGCATTTTAAGCATTCTATTTCTGTGGTCTCCCTTGTGTATTTTGTGATTTCCAGGACAGCTACGTATGAGTTCACAGTAGAGAAGATGAGGCTGTGGGCAGGATACAGCCCGGGGGTCTAAGCAATAGCAGTTGAAGTTATGGTGGTTATGGGCAGAGAGGGTAGTTTATCACTTCCCTCATCTGGCCCTAGCCAATCTAGTCGTGCCAATGCAACCGTAATGGTGTGAATGATCCCAGTTAGGGGGTTAATTACTTCTGTTTGACCGCATGCATCCTGCTGAAGGAGCTGCCTGTATGCTTTGATTTTCTCCTGTCCTTTCCGGACAGCGAGACCAACTGCTACAGCCTGAGCTAGATTCACACGGTTGCGTTCTAGTTGTGAGGGGCTACAAAGGGAGTTTAGAGAAGCAGGGCCCTCAGACTGAGAAATCCCTTGCGATGCGTCATCCTCACAAGTAGCGGAATTGCATCGGGCTCAGCAGTCCTTTGCCTGCTTTGAAATTCCTCTTTTGAAAGCCATGCTTTAAGCAGTGTACTTTTTGCGTAGGTATATGAACGTCGATTTGCAAACGGGGCTGCCTGCCGGTACCTACTGCGATGTTATTTCTGGAGATAAGGAAGGCAGTGCGTGTACTGGAAAGCAGGTGTATGTTTCTTCGGATGGAATGGCCAATTTCCAGATTAGTAACACTGACGAAGATCCATTTGTTGCAGTTCACGTTGATGCCAAGTTATAATTTTTTTTTTTTTTTTTTTTTTTATTCTTTTTTTTTTTTTTTTTTTCTGATGTGTGGAAGATGAAGAGCTTGACTCAACATTGTTCAAAGTCGACTTGCTGGTAATAAGGTGCTGGGAAAGAGAGATGGACAGAGTAAACGGGTGTTTGTTGCTAGCTATAAGCTAAGCTCTGTGCTGTTACGAAGACTTGTTATGACTTGCTTTCTAGCCAATGGATTGTTAGTCTAAATGTATACTGAACGTGCGTGTTGGAATACAAAAGGCTTGCTTAGGAAAATAAAAGTGAATCTTCCTTGCACGAGAACAGTGTGTTGTGTTGCTAACTTGCGACACTGTTGCTCTGTATGTATACTGTTTGTGCCAGGCTTGTTTCCCCGATGTTGGGTGATTCTCTGTAACCCTTGAAAATAAATATCAACGGAATTGAAGACCAAAGATTTTCACCCCTCGGTATTCTGGATCATAGCATTATCATGTAACTAGCAGCAAAAGCATTGGTAGCCTTTAAGGCAATACAGCACTGTTTTTCTGAAATCACAGAATCGCAAGAGTAAAGAAGGAATAGGAGGAGAAGAATCCAAGTACATGTTGAATTTGGAACATTGTATTTCCAAGGCTGATGCATACTGTGGAGCAGACACTTTGCTGTAGTCAGCCGGAAGCGTTGCGTCATGTGACGTTGGCAGTGAGCGCTAAGACAATGCGGTAAGAATGCCTGAGTATAGGTTTTGGTCAAGCCACATTTGCGTGTCCAGCAGATGATGTAGTGTTTCTTCCTCAGAGCAAAGCAGTTGTCCTAGTCTTGTTTGCTAAGCAATTCAACTGAAAGGCATAGGCATGTCTCCAAAGTACCTTTTGTAGCAAATGATTGACTTCAGCTAAGCATCCTGCAGTACTCAGTCCTTGTCTCCCTGCTTTTGATAAGAGAATGTTTGCCATCTTCTGTAGTTTCAGCAGTGTGAAGAAATGAAATGTCTTTGTTAGAGGGTTTTTTCTTGCTGATCAGCTGCAATATTGTGAATACCGTAGACCAATTTTAACGTGCCCTTTGTTAATAAAGGAATCTTAAGGCTTTGCACTGATTTTGAGAGAAAAGATGTGTTCTTAAAAATGAAATGATTGCTGTAGAGCTCAGATTTTAGCAGTGTCCTATTCAATAATGAAGCCGCATCAACTTGTTCTTTAGCAGCAAGTTATGGAAGCAAAGCATGAGAGAAGTACGTGGAAGCAGAACTGCTGCAACTGTCAGTAGGTAATGTATCTGTGATGTTATATATGTCTGTGTGAAAGCACAGTTGGAACAAGCGTGCAGAAACCATTCCTAACATGACTCCCTCATATATTGCACCAACTAACACCTCGGTGTATTTCTCTTGTAAGCAAATGAGGGTGTCAGAGTGATGGTTGCTTACTGTCAATTCTTTATTGCTGAGGAGTGGAAATATTTGTCTAATGTTTTCAAGAAGTTAACATTCAATATGTTTGATTACTGTCAGTAATATCTAGGATTTGCATGGAGTGGACTAGTTTTTAATGAATGTCCATATAGGGAAGCAGAAGAGCATTTTAGGTTTGCGGTGTGAGAACTTGCAAACCAAAATGTCTTTTTTCAGTGCCTGGAAACACAGTACTCTATCGTTTCACATAAATGTGTTTTCATCCCAGTGCTTAAATTCTCCTGAATTTGCTGTCAGTCAAAGTAGAGAATATTTTTACTTTTTGTATTGGCAAATTGGGTCTGTGATAGGAAAATGAGGAGATGAACAAATTGGACTAGCTTCTGAATTTTGTCCTTGAACATAAATTCCTGGAAATAAAAGGACAGTGATGAACATCCTATTAAAAATAATAATTAAAAAAAAAAGCGTAGGTTTATACTTTCTGGTGAGATTCAGATTTTAAAGACTTACGGTGTGTTGTGTAATACATTAGGAAGGACATTAGAAAGTATTACTTTTTGGAAAGGGTGGTCAGGCACTGGAATGCACTGCCCAGGGAGGCGGTGGAGTCACCGACCCTGGGGGTGTTCAAGGAAAGACTGGATGTTGTGTTGAGGGACATGGTTTATTGGGAGCTATTGGGAATAGGTGAAGGGTTGGACCGGATGATCTTTTAGGTCTTTTCCAACCTTGGTGATTCTATGATTCTGTGAAATTCAGCTGTGGGTTCAGCATAACCTTTTAATAACCAGAATCACAGAATCATAGAATGGCCAGGGTTGGAGGGGACCTCAAGGATCACGAATCTCCAACCTCCCTGCCACAGGCAGGGCCACCAATCTCTACGCTTAATACTAGACCAGGCTGCCCCAGGGCCCTATCCAATCTGGTCTCGAAAACCTCTAGGGACCAGCTGAAGCCAAGCCCAGGCATTCAGGTGAATTCCTCACCCTGCATTTTGATGCTGATTTCCTCACGAGGATTTCTCTTGCCTGGGGAATGGCACAGGAGGGTTGTTAGGATAATATGGTCAGGTTTTGGTTGGACTTGATGATCTTTAAGGTCTTTTCCAACCTAAGCAATCCTATGATTCCTATGATCTAATAATGAACAAGAATGATTGAAATCATACATGGGTTTGAGCTCATCTTTATTTCCTTTCACCTTCCAGAGTCCCAATTTTCATAAAGTCTTTGTTTACGTGACAGCAAAGAATATAATCCCCAATTTGGGAGTGCTGCTCAGGCACTGCTTGGTGTATTATAAGGTATAAACATTGGGAGAAGGTATTTTATCTTCAGCTGCAGGGCAGTTCAAGATAAAATAAATGGGAATATGGATATCTAGCTAGCTAGACCAACAGTAACAGAACTCTGTGAAATCTGTCAGCTACAGTAGAAATTTTGTCATCCTCCAGGAGTATAAATGGCCAGTGGAAAGACCACAGCCTTAAGCTGGCAGCACCGTGTAAGGTGTCCTCCTCCTCGCAGCTGTAGGGCTTTGCTGGGCACAGTTACGACCCTGACACTCAGGCTGGGAGGATGTCTATTGTGCATCTCTTTGAATGGCACTGGGCCAATATTGCTGTGGAGTGTGAACACGATGTAGCTCTATTGGGTTTGGTGGAGTTCAGGTATGCAATTTCCTGCCCAGAGGCAATAAAACCGCTTTGCAGCATTTGGTTAACAAGCAAAACAGCCAGAACTGCTGACAGTGAGCTCCAAGTAACTTTCTTGTTGAAAGCATGGATGGAAGTGCTGAGTTGCTGTCTCGCTCCAATTTATAGGAGGGAGATGAGGTTCTTTAATATCTGTATACCCGGTGTGAGATTAAGAAACAATGGTTCATATGTTGTTGCATCCAGTTTATTACTAAGACCTAATCAGGGAGACGGGGAAGGGAAGGAGGGCGATAGAAAAGATGGAAAAGAAGCAGGAGTTGCGTAAAGCGGGGATAGTCACCAGCAGGATCCAGCAGCAGTCCCGTTGCACGGTGTTCGAAGGTCCCAGGCAGAACGCAGCAGAAGACGGGGAGCAGCAGCGAGGCCGGCCTTGAGCAGCAGGCAGGTAGACGAGGAAGTCGAGGAGCCAATTCTTGAAGCAGCAACAGCGGTCAGGCAGCAGGTTCAGGAGAGTTCGACAGTATGCAGGAATCACCTCAATCTTCAGGAATCCCTCTATCTTCCGGAATTCCTCTCTCCCAGTCTTCTTCATGAGGGATCTCTTGTCAGAAAACCCTCCCGTTCTTCATGAGGAATCTGTTGTCAGAAACCTAACCTCATGGTTTTCAGTTCCTCTTTTATCCTCCTTGTTCTCCTGCCTACGTGACAAGGATGGGCCTCGAGCAAGAGTCATTGAGTACCTCCTGAGATGGCCATCATCCGGAGATAAGCCCACACAAAGGAGCACTTCACAGCTATTCAGCTGCAGTTCATCTCGCTCTCGTTGCCCCTGGCCTTGCCCATCTGCGTTTCCCCAGACAAAGGATTTCACAACCTTTGCCTAGGGCTTGCCTGGACTTGAACATCTGTCTCCTTAAGACAAAGGTTTTCACCGTCCTTGCTCGGGACTTGTCTGGACTTGAACAAGCCCATTGGTGTCCCTAGCAAACTTTGAGACACAGAAGTTAACAGTATAGTCTCTTACAGTTGCGACAGGCAGATCTGGAGATCCTGCCAGCTTGATACGAGTGTATGTTTAGCTGCAGGTCACCTGCAAGGGGGCTGTCACGCGTCATGTATGACACTGTCTTTTACCTTTCGCTGCCCAAAGGATGTCCAGACTATTCCAGACAAAAATAACTAACGTGGCTTCAGCCCTCCCGTACACATGTCCTTGGACGGTGGATACAGGCAGCTCACAGCAACAAAAGACAATTTTTTTGTCAGTCTACAAGATGGGTATCTTGCAGACCTAAGCTTGTACTGCAGAGAGTACTGCAGAGAATGGGTTTGGCACAAAGCCTGTCTCATGGAAATGACAGACTAATCTCAGCACTGAGCACACCTTATTGCACTTAAAACGTGAAATAGGAACTACAGATTTCTGACTGAAGTATGTCCTTTCGCCTGCAGGTTTCTCCTCCAAATGAAAACATTGTCATTACTAATCCGAACCGGCCCTGGTGGGAAAGATACCAGCCCGTCAGCTACAAGATCTGCAGTCGATCAGGCACTGAAGATGAATTCAGAGACATGGCGACCAGATGCAACAACGTTGGAGTAAGTGCCTTGAAAACGCATAGCCGATACGCTGAGAAGGGCGGTTTCTGTGGAGCAAAGTTGCCGCTCCTATTCTCGAAGGAGGGCTAAACGGAGAGTAAAGGGAGGTGGATGAAAGGTCACGCTGACAGCGGTGTGGTAAATCTCCGGCTGATGCTTCAACAGCATCACAACACAGACTGAATCGCAGTCGCTCCTTTTCCAGGTTCGCATTTATGTGGATGCTGTTGTCAATCACATGTGCGGATCTATGGGTGGCACAGGCACCCACTCCACGTGCGGGAGCTATTTCGACACCGGGACTAGAGATTTTCCTGCGGTGCCATACTCTGCCTGGGATTTCAACGATGGCAAATGTCAGACCGCCAGTGGAGACATTGAAAATTATGGGGACATCTATCAGGTAACTTCTGTTGATTTCGATTTTGATATTTTTTCTTGTTTAAATCTTGTTGTGTACAGTAAAGCCAAAGAAAGGGAGTAGTTTATCTCGGGTTGAATGCTTAGTCCCCTTACTAGTGAATACAGTGGTGTACATCATAGGCTTCTCTTCCAGTAACGCACCTGTGCTGCCCAGTACTGTAGGCACTGAGAAGTCACAAACCCTACCCATGTTTCACGTGGGCATGTGAAGGAGCATGCGTCTGAACCGACTGAGCCCAAGCCTCTCAGTTTTGCCAGCGGGCACTTTCTTAGGACTTTGGAAATCAACTACCCTTGTTAAGGGAGCCCAGGAAAATTGGGAGCTGTGCAGGATGCTACCCTGCTTATGTCGGTCGGTCCGTTTGTCCGTTCTTCCATTTGGATGTGGCATGGGTTGTCAGTTCTTTATGAAGGTTACAGCTCAGCATCATTTAGCTGTAACGTTCTTCCAGTCACGGGGGGCTTGCTTGATAGCTGCGACTTACCAGTCACCATGGAGGGTGGCACTGTAATCACATCAGGCAGTGACCTCAGGACACCGGGGTGCAGATTATCAGGTCCCATAGACTTGTACACATTCAGAGTCTTCAAGAGGTGTTAGACTTGCTCTTCTGTTACAGCGGGAGGGAATTTTGCTCTCCCAGCCTTTCCCTAGATGTTTAAGGACATAAGAGATATGGGAAGCCTGACTGCCAGCAGAGAATTTGGTTACCACGTCAGCCTTCGCTGTGTCTGTTGTTGCCTTTTCTTGCTTTTCATATATCAGAGAGAGTATGCTTTCCTTGGCCTTTGTCCTCTGCCCAGCGTACCTGTAGAAATCCCATGTTGTTGCTTCTTAAGTCATGTGTGAAGTTCACTTTCATCTTTGTGTCAGTTTACCTATGTCTGCGTGCCTGGAAAGCATCCCTGTATTTTCCGCAGGTTACACGTCCCTTTACGTTTTCCTTCTTTTCCCTTTTTTTTTTTTTTTCCCCAGCGTGTCATTACTCTGTCACACACTGGTTTCCTGCCTTCTCCACTGTGTTTCACATGTTGGGGGCTGGAGATCTCTTGTGCTCTCAGAAAGGCATCCTTTATGAGCTCCGTTATAACTCAGCGTATGAGAGCATAGTCTTCATTTCCTTCTGTAAATGGAGAGCTGTAGTAGTTTCTATTGGAATTTCATAATTAGCCTTCTTTGTCTGAATTAACTGAAAGCTGTGAAACATACTAAGTGTTGCGGAATTAGAACCTGTCCAAAAGACCACGGTTTGGCTGGCGTTGTTCCTTCTTGGTATGGGGGGAAAAAAAAACAACCAAGGAGTGTTTGATCTGTTTTCAGCAGATTTCATAATGATGGGGCTTTTAAAAATGGAAATCATTTTCTACACAAGGGTTTTTGATTGTTTATTGTGTTGATGATTCTATATGCTGTTCAGAAAGAATTGCTCAGAGATAAGTATCTTACAGAGAACCAGTTTCATTCACTGTCAAGTCTTGGCAGATAAGAAGTGCAGGGGTACCTGATCTCTTGGTAGAGACATCCAATTTCTACACAGTTTGCGATTTAGCGGAATGCCATACGTACCTCTTTATGGTTAAAGACAGTTAGAAGCCTAAGAATCATTCTCCAAATGGTTCTCTTTTGCCACTTGGCTGAAATTTCTCATAGTTTCTAGCAAGTTGGATGAGGTATTCTTCTAGACAGGGAGAATGCAGATCAGTCTGGCTGTAGCTTATAGAAGAAATTGGCTAATGCAGTAATGCAGCGTTAGGAAGGCCGTTCTTGTCAAAGTGCTAAATTTTTTTTCCCCCCCATCTTGCAGAAGTCTAGAACAGACTTAAGGCTTTGCTTCTGAGACACAGAGAGTAAGTACAAGTACATTAGTTTATGCGCACCATTGAAACCGCCTCATTTTTTTCACTGTTTTCTTGTCAGATTTGATTTGTAGCTGCCTAGTTGGCCAGTTGTCCATTCATATAGTTAACTGGGGCCCATGGAGAGCATGTGGTGAATACGACAGTAAGTTCTGACCATCTAGGATGTACATATGGAATCACAATTATAGTGGTCTGAGGAGGAAGAAAAACATTGGCAGTGTGAGGGCTGTTTTGCACCGCATAGAGAAGCTAAGCACTCTAATATGGGATCTCTGAATCTAATAACCTAAGAGCTCAACTGTCCTGCAGAAGTTCTCGAGAGAGCAAGGAGCTGAAGCTTCTCTTCAGCAGTTAATCCCTTAGCTGCTAGACATAAGAGTTTATGTTCAATTACATTTAGTAGTTTCTTTTCCCAAATGATTATTTCTGTTCAAATTCTTCTCATCTTAAAAGGTAGAATCTTCCTTTTTTCCTGTAGGGAAATAAATGGTGCCCAAAGAAGGTGGTGAATGCTTTGCGGAGTATAGAAAAAAATCATACGATAGTGTGATGATGGCACAATGATGTTGTTAAATCCTTATCTGAGCGCATGGTTTTTGACAATTTTGTAGGAGAGCGTCAGTCTAAGCCAGTCCATCAAATAGATAGGGGAAATACTTGAAAACATCTGCAAATTCTTGACTGTGGCTGCAGGTGGGCCATTGTAATGGCATGAATTCTCGCTGCGGTAATTAAAACTAAGAGTTTTCCTAGCAAAGAATGTATTATCGCGTTACTGATTTGGACTGCCCAAAAGGATTTTTCCTAAGCATTTTTTGTTTTAAATAAGTAAAACACACAATACGAGTTGGAGGGGAGAACTGCAACTACAAACTTATATCTGGAAATCAGCTTTGTGGGATGCCAGCTAGTAAGTTCTTAAGGATGAGGCAATTAAGTGTCATTTATGAGGTTGGTAATTGCACCATCTTAGAATCAAGCATCTTCTTCCAGCAGCTTTCCTAAATAAAACCTCTGAAGTGATCCCCGATCTCGCCAAGTAAGAGAAGAGGGTTCCACGTGTCAGTGACTTCAGGTAAGCACTCTTGTGTTTGATGACCTTATTTTATCAGGCTTTTGTTGAAAACAAAACAGTAAGAAAGTCTGTCAGTCTGGCTAACTCCAGAGCTGTCTTCCCCAGCAGTACTGACTAGCAAGCTTATTTTGCTTCCCTGGAAGTCACTTGACACATTCTTACACTTTGTAGCCGGGCTTGTAAAGTTGCTGGGATTTTGGCTGCTGGGAAATACAGTTAGAAGGATAAGCCAGTCTGCTCCACTCCAGGAAGCAGCTATGCCTGACTTTCCTGAGGCCAGCACTTATAGCTAGCATGAATGGCTTCCACTCTAAGCCATGTGACATTCCTTCCTTTTCCTACTTCTTACACTGCTTTCTCTTCTGTCAAGTAAATAAGAGTCTGAGAACCACTGAGACCTGAGAAGTGTAAAAAAGCCTCCCCTTGTTCTTTCTGTTTATTTTTAAATAAAAAACACTGCTGTTACTTGCATGCACAGTGCAGACTTGGAGGAGGGATTTGTCTCCCCAGCTTGTTAACTGAATTTGATGCAGAAGTGAGACTGCTACGCACATAAGTACCACAGTTGAGTATAAAATGTGGAGAAGGGGAAAGCTAGCTGCCTTGCATGCCAGCAGTGAGAAATCGGTACTCAGTACCAAAGAAAGCAGAAAGGTATGACATTTCAAAAAGCTCACAGTCATATGCCGGTCATTGTCACCAGGCCCACATAAATTAAGGACTTGAGCTCTTTTTGATTTGTCAGAGAAGTTAATTGTCATAAAGTTAAACCTATCAAAAAAGGACATCCTTGTATTCACTGATTAAAAAAAAAAAAATGCACTTACTCATGCAAATTACAGTGCAAGGGCAGAATCCCAATGGTGTTTATTTCCTTTCTTAGAAAGGAAAAAATGCAGAATAGGATTCATTTTTATTCTTTGTGTTATCATTTGGTCTCACTTTAGGATGAAGGTTCACAGGAACTTAGTTGCAAAGATTTGACACAAAGGCTTTTGCTGAGAAGCACTTCTTGAAGTTACCTAGCTGGAAACCAGAAATTGCAGGGAACTCATTTGTTTAAATACATTTAAGTACTTGAATGAAACCAGAAGTATTTTTTGTGAGAGAGTCAGTGCTGGTCTGCTCTTAGGATAGCATGCTTGTGTTTAAGCTGGAGAAGCTCTACGAAGTAGAAGAGACGCTGCTATTCAGAAATTCAGCTTTATTGATACAAACACGGGAAACACAGTGCTTTCAGTTGTTAAATAAAGCAAGTCTGTTGAATTACATTACTATCATCTACCTCAAAACTATTTGTTTTTTTATTAAGTCTTGCTTGAATCTCTTACAGAACATCCAACACAAAACAGCCGATTACAGAAGCAGTAGTTTTTCTCCTCATTCTCATTTCCTGAGATGAGTAAGCTAATGTCAGCAGCCAAGGGAACAAGGCCAGAGTGCAGAAATAGGCAGCGCATCCTTCTGTGTGGTAAGTGAGGATTTTCTTTGTTTTAAGTAAAGTTGAAGACAGACAGGTATCCACTCCACTCTAAAGAACTTCAGCTAGCTAAGCCTAGTAATTCCATTTCAGTACAGATATTTTTTTAAGCATACTCATTGTTAAATGTAAGAGAGCATTTATGCCTTTAATAGAAACAGTCTTTCCAAAAAAACTGCACCAAGATGATAATTCTTCAGTGAAATAGATATGTTGTCATCTGCTTCCCACCATGCAAATTGCAAGCAAAGTTGCTACTGGAATTTTTGAGGCATGCCTGGAAAGGAGATCTGAGTTAGCCATGAGTCTTCCTACACAGTTTTGCTTAAGCTAGAAGGTAATTAAGTTGAAAGACCTGCCTCTTCTAACCAAGACCTAGTTTTTTACTAATTCAATTCTGAAATGTGAAATTGGTCAAGTTGTCTTTCCACCAATTCAGTGTATTGTTTGAGTTGCTGCCTTAAATACAAGTAAAATCTTATCCCCACAAGGAGAGAATAGTCTGCGTTTCTAGGAAAGCAAAGCCTGTTTTGGCCTCATTCTAGATCTCAGGAAAGGATTCCTAAGCATTTTTACTTTTTAGTTTTCTATTAGACTTCTTTTACCCAGGAATAGCTTGCAAAATAGTCTCCAAGAACTCCAACTCACTCCTTTCTAACCACCTGAGTCTCTTCAGGTTGCTAATATTGCGAAACAGCCCTAGCAATATACAGGACATATACTTAGATGGATACTCACCACAGGATTATTTTACCTCCAGCCTATCACCCAAGCCCTTTCAAAAGGCTAAACCTCCTGCACTCCCCAGAGTGCATTAAGCGACCACACATAGTGACTCAGGTCACAGACCAAGACCTCATTCAAGAAGGCTGTTCCTGAAATTAAGTCAGCTGAACTTTATCCTCAGGCAGAACCAGGCCAGAAAGAGCTGGCTTCTATCTCCTTACTTACAGCCTAGAAGGAGCATCACCATACAGGAACCACACCAGCACCCAGGTACAGTATTCCCCCACACCCCCACCCAGGGGAGCCCCTATAGCCAGGTGGGGCTCCCCCCACACTCCCACCCAGTTGGAGCCCCACCAGCTGAGGGGCTCTCCCACGGCCCAGCAGGGCTGCCTCTTCCAAAAAATTTCCAATGCCAACCAGAGCACCCTACCCACCACCCAAAAAAAAAAATATATATCTCTTTAGAGATGGTGCAAACCCTGTTCTCTATCGCAAAAAAAAAAAAAAAGGCACACAAGCTACTTCAATCCCACACATAAGCTAGAGCCAACTTGTACAACAAAAAAGAGGAAAAACTACAACAAACAATACCAACTTCAACCACAACAACAACAAAAAACCCAGAGGCAAACAAACTAAGACACATAAAAATACACCAAGTTCAACCAGTAACACAGCACAACTCACCACCACCTTAACCTGAGACAAATAATCCAAGCAACACCCCACTACCATCCAACTTCAACCACCACCACAAAAAAAAAAAAAAAAAGAAAAAGAAAAACACCCAAAGGCAAATAAACTAAGCTGACACATAATTCCAACTCATCACAACACCTACAACCTAACAGAGAACAAAATAAAAAGGAACAAAAACACTCAGAAAGACCCCAGGAAACACTGAACACAAGCCAGCCTGGGGGGATTCAGCAGTCAGCCAACAGAACACCTACAGGACACACCGTAACACCCCATGCCTACCTCTGCAGTCAGCTCTGCCACCTCCTCCTTTACAGCTTTCAGAAGAGCTCAGCTCACAGCCACTGTTGATGTTCTCCTCATAAGAGTAGCTGAACAACAACCTGAGGAAAGAGAAAAGCTCTAAGTTGTTGGACCAACAACATAGCACCGGGAACCCAAAGCACCTCACAAAAGGCCTGCTGGAGCTCCACCACAGGTAATACTCCTTACCTCTCACTCCATCAATTCCACACCTTTAGGACCAAAATGAAAGCACAGTGAAGCCTCACCTCAAGGAAGGACCCAAGCATCACACATGCAGGCAGCCAGTCCTAGCCCCTAACTGCATCCCAGGAACAGCACATACCTATCAGGGGGAAATGCCGACGAGGCGCGGCTGGGTCTCGTTAGGGCCGATCGGGTGCCTGACAGTTCGACACGTGGGCTCCGCTCCGGATCTGAATTACGGACTTAAAGCACACTTCAAGTTAAAGTTTGTTACGCGCTTCTCCTTCTCGCCTCGTTGTTGGGTTCGTTGACAAGTTAAATAACTGTACCCGATTCAAAAGGATCGCTTCGCTTTGCATTTGAAGTGAATGGAATGACAGACAGTCACGCTGCCTGAGAACATCCCCGGCCCTGACGGTTTCGAGAGACCACCAACCCCCCTTCCCCCCTCCGCCGCGCGCTTCCTCCAAATAAATAAGTAAATAAATACGTTTGAGAAACAGGTAAAAAAATTTAATCTCAGAAAACATGTGACTAAAGACGGCAGTGGAAATATGGCAGTGGCAATGTGACCGGTGGCCAAATGGGCTGCTGATACACGCCAGAAAATTGCATAGTGGTGAAATTGGAAGCGGAGCTTTGCGAACAGTTCCGTGCGGCGTTGCTCTGGGTTACGTTCCCGTGTCCTATAAATCAGTAGGATGACTTTCTCTAAGATTTTAATTATTTCTATTCGTGGACACAGGCACTACAAGACTTCAGTGATAACGTTCACCTCAGATAGCAGTTTCATTCCTCATTTAAAATTCTGACAGTTGGTCTGTGCTCAATTCTATTTTTTATAATTGTATAACTGTGAATGTTTGTACTGCACATCCTACGCACTAGATGGTTTCCCAGAGGATGGCCTAAATTGCAAATAGTGTGTTTCACGAGCAATTGTAGGCCATGGTTCTAAATGATTACAACAAGCTCTTTCTCCCAACATTTCCAGCTTGACGAGAGAAAGAAAAACGATTACAAAGAGTTTCCCTCATAAAAGTGGTTTTGAGAACAGCTAGCGAGAACGTGTTCCTACTGCTTTTCTCCAAAAGCTGTCTAGTTCATCTGTATTTCTGAATGACACCAATCGGTTCCTGTCTCACACAACTAGTGGCTTACACATCAATTATCTACATACAGCATCTCTCACTTTTGGAACCTACTGTCTGTGAAGGGTCGTGTCCTTTTGAAGGGTGGAGATCCTGAGCTGCGGAATCTGACCGAGAGGCTCGACGATGTTGCTGGCGGGCTCCTCTTAAACTGCTAGGTGTCTACAAATTACCGTGCAATTAAAGCGGCCGAAAGGTGCGATGAATACGAGGGGACTGGCTGCTCAGGCCTTCCGTGATGCGATCACAATTTTATGAGCGGTGGTTACTTATTCATTACTTCTTTCAATACAAAGAAGAAAAGTTTTGTACATTCCTGACAGCGAGTATATAAGACTCAGATTGTCGTCACTGTTCTGTTCTTAGGCCCATCTCCTTACCTCTTTTTTTTCCCCTTTTCCCATTCCCCCTTCCCTGGGGCGTGAGTCTGTACTTGCCCGTGCTCCGTCCGGTCACAGAAATGGGTGAAGCCGGCCCATAAGTCGTTTACGTCTTTCTGATTTTCTCCCCGCACAGCTTCACTGCATATTTGTAATCCTCATAAGTTGCTCACCTCCTTTTCTAAAGACTGCAAACTTTCCTTTTTTCCAGAGTTCCGGACGAAGGCCTCTGCTCAGCCAGACCGGTCTCCTTCCCTATCGGTTCATCTTCTGTGAGTTCGGGATGGTCAGCTCCTGCACCTTTAAAATTTCTTCGTTACAGTATTCCCAGCCTTCCTGGGACCCGCGTCTTCCAGAACTAGCTCCCAAGGGTCTCCGAAAGAGACCGTGATCGGCCCTCGACCCCTCAAGTCTGGGGCTCAGAAGTTTAATGGAAATGTTGCAAGCAGCAAATCTGAATGATAAAGAGTTAAAACCATATGAAGATAGTAAACTGTGGCCAAATTCTTAGAAAACACAGCAAAATGTGTCACACCGTCTGCAGCTACAAATTCTATCTCTTCTACTTGTAGATTGTAGAGCTGTGGGATCCTGCCTACTGCCAAAGCCTTCTTGTGTGTATGCGTGAAACTAGCTGCTCATTAGGTGGTCTGCATCAGCAGTGAGCTGGCCCTGGCTGCCATGATAGGAAGAGAAGGCTTTGTTTCAAAGAGAACAATGCAAGTGGTCACGTGCATGTAAGGAGCGAGTGCGCTGTCCATATAAACTTGGAAAGTGATCTCCCTTACCTTGAGAAGGAAGGTACAACTTGTGAACACCTCAAAATTCCTCAGGAAGAAGTGTTTCCTAAACTGTGCACGTCTGATCTGCAGTGAATGGTGAACAAAACCCCAAAAAAAGCATTGAGCACAGAGCCCGTCGCTGAAAATGAAAAAAATTGCTGGATGCGTAATGAACAGGGCTGGAAGAAAGACCTGTTAGCAACAGTTGCAGTGTGACGGTGACTGATGCAACCCCCTTCCCAGAATGTCAACATGGATGGGGTAATGCCAGGGATTTGCAACGTGGGAAAGAGGAAAACTGGTTACTACAAAATCTGCCCGGAGTTGCTACCGTCACCCGATGCCTTTATTATTCCCACATCGCTAAGGCAGCCCGAATCGCACTGTCAATTGCAATCTCAGACACAATAATGATGGTTACCTTCACAGGGTCTTTTTTGGCTATTATTTTCCTCAAGGCCAGCGCGGCATCAGTGTGAATTCTGCTCGATAATGTTGCAACAGTAAGTGAAAACGTTGGCAAAAACTTTGGGATGCGTTTGATGCTGGCTGGCTCTCCTGCGTTGCCTATAAGGCAAGGCCACGTCTTTAACATGGCTTCTGCCGGGAGCTTTGGCAGCAAGGTCGCAGAGTGGCCGAGATCAGAGCAGGCTGTTTTTAACCGCATCAGGCAGCGATCCTCTAACAATTGCATAATAAGAAACACTGTCACAGCAAGCAAAATGATCTCTGGTGCAAAACCCTGAGTAAAGCTGCTCAGATATTAATGCCAGAAAAAAATCACAGCTACGAGTGAGGCACATAAACACCTCGCTGCCAAACTGTCAGCGTTACGAGAAGCAAATTAGACACTTTTTAAAACTTTAGTCACTCCTAAGGAAATAATAAGAGACGAGCATCGCCTACCTGAAGAATTTCATTATGACAAAATGAAGGCTGAGCACAGTGCTTATTTACCAAGCTACCATATCCCAGGTAAACGAGTACTCACAGCATCGGTGCGTTCTGAATTTGGGGATAGGTCAGAAAAGTCACTGAATCGTAGATTTGTATAATTGTTCAATTTGGAAGAAACCTGGAAGATCGTCGAGTCCAACCACAACCTAACCAGACTACCCTCACAACCCTCTGCTAAATCATGTCCCTGAGCACCGCGTCCAAATGGTTCTTAAACACATCTGGGCATAGTGTCTCAACTGCCTCCCTGGGGAGCCTATTGCAGTGCTTCACAGCCCTTTCTGTAAAGAAGTTTTTCCCCATATCCAATCTAAGCTTCCCCTGGCGCAACTTGAGGCCGTTTCCCCTGGTCCTGTCACCTTTCGCCGGTGAGAAGAGACCAACCCTGCTCTCGCCGTAAGCAATTTCCAGGCATTAGAAGAGAGCGATAAGGTCTCTCCTCTGGCCTCCCTTCCCCCAGATTAAACAGCACCAGTTCCTTCAGTCACTCCTCGCAGAGCACATTCTCCAAGCCCTTTGTGAGCCTTGCTGCTCTTCTTCGGACCTGCTCTGGCACCTCCACGTCCTTTCTGCGCTGAGGTGCCCCAAGCTGAACACAGTACTCGAGATGAGGCCTCGCCGACTGCAGGGGCAGGATGATTTCTCTAGTCCTGCTCACCGCACCGTTCCCTATACGAGTCAGCATGCCAGTGGCCTTCCTGGCCACCTGAGCACATTGCTGGCTCGTATTCAGCCGACCGTCTATTGGTGCAGCGAGGTCCTTTCTGTATGACAGCTTTCCAGTCACTCCTCCACAAGCCTGCAGGTTTGCCTGGGGTTGTTGTGACCGAAAACTGTCATTTGTCTGCAAAATAATGAAGTCATAGTTGTTAACGTTTCCATTTATTAGCGCTGCTATGCAGTGAAACGTTTGTATCTGAGAAGTAAAGAGAAATTACATTGGATCTTCTCCTGTGTTCCTATTTTCAAAATTTAAATCAAATCCTAGTGATTCATTCAGCTACAGTTAAAGTAGAGCTGCTCCATTTCTGATGCGTGTGCTTTAGGTGCGGCTTACTTTGCGTTATTTTCTTCACTCTGTCCAATTTTTTAATATACATCTTGGCAAAAAGAAATCAGAAGCAATCTTATTATGACAGTTCTAACAGTATTCCTCACAATTTTTTTGCATTAAGTGTTAGGAAACATTTTCTAAATCATTCCTCATTCATGCCAACAGCTGACGTTTTAGAACATTAGAAGAAAACACATTGTGTTTGTCGAACCATTTGTGAGAACTCAGTTGAAGCTTCTGAAGTGCCTCCTTCCTCAACATTCTGAGCTAATTGTTGCAGTGCTTCTGCTAATCGCGGGGAAAAAAAAACCCAGAAAGCTGAAAGGTACTGTGCCTCAAATGACCTGCGAATCTGAGAAATAATGCAAAAGCGTGAATGTTGACCAGAACCGGTCCTTGTCTTGAAGCAAAAGACAGAAACGCCTCAGTGGCAGCGTGGCAAACCACGTGAGAGCTGGGCACGTACAGCTGGAGCTGTGGGATGAGGGCTTCCGGCACTGCAGCTGTGCTGTCGCAATGCGGATCAATCTCGAGTTTGTGCACTGCTCTGCATTGTCTGGAAGTGTCGCCAGACAGGCGAGAACTTTTGCCCTTGCTTGCTGCACTACTGACAATCACTGCTCTCACCTGGATTCCACGGCTGCTATCCCATCGGGCTTGCCGAAGGGGGAAATCTGGTACACCTCCTCCAACATAGCAAATGTCATCGAGGCTCTGCTGTCCTAGTACTTGTAAGTGAACAGCGCTGTGCCTTTCATGTTTTTGACTTTCTAAAAGTGCAAAGAGACACGAATATGAAATGGAAATAATTAACTGGCAAGCCGAATTCCCTGCCGGCAGCAACAGAGAGCAGTGGCAGGCATGCAGCCCACCATGGGGCAGGTGGGTCAGGGTCGAATGTAGGTCATGCCCGTGCAGTGCACCACGCTGCCCGGTTTTCATCTTCAGCCTTTGTGACAATGAAATGAGGGGATATTCACCCAGAGACCGTTGTTTTACAAACACATGGATATCAGTAACATTTCTTGGTTTGATTTCTATAATAAAATTTCCTACATCAGGGACTGATGCTTGGTTAGTCTTCTCGATCCGGCTCTGGAGAAGAACTATGTACGCTCAACAATAGCAGCGCACATGAATCACCTCACTGATGAAGATCCATTTGTTGCAATTCACAATGATGCCGAGTTATAACTTCATTCAGAATTTTTTTCGCCACTGTTGCTGTGTATGTATATTGTTTGTGCCAGTTTCGTGATTCTCTGTCAACCGAATTGAAGACCAAAGATTTTCACTCCTCAGTATTTTGGATCGTTGGTTCCCTGTCAGTTCATGCCGTTAAGAAAACAAAAACATAGTTGACCCACCAGGTGGCAGAAACCTCAGATGATTGCTGGAAGCTATTTTAACGCCGACTGTTCCAAAGGTTTCTACCTAAGCGGACTGAAGTTGTTTAGTATACCAAAAGAGCAAATTGTACTTGTATAACACTTTATGTCACCGGTGAATTCAGCCCTAAGTCTTGTATCCTTACGTCACACAAAACAAACACTGCCTCCATCGTATCAAAAATTTGGATTCTGAAGTGATCACAGGCAGTGACACACCTGTCTGTGTATTCTGACAGGTTTTGACTGCCTTTTATTTATGGAATCCTCAGGACAGTAAGTGCCATTTCAACTGCTTTAATGCAATAAGTACTGTCATTAGAGCTTGCAATGGCTTTAACGTTGTACATTAGTTCGGAAGGTAGACACTAACAATCCTTTTCAAAGGGGCAGGAAAGCTCCAACAGTTTCAATGGCTTCTAAAAGTTCCATAAAGCTCTCTGATTTAAACTGAGGGCTGCACTCTCACATTTATCTTGGCAGTTGATCACAGTCGAAACGCTGGGGCCGGCCATATCTATTCCTGGTCTGAGTAATACTGCCAGACATTACAGAATGATTGAGTCTCGAGCAGCATGGAGGCATATCTATGCTTCAAGGAAACAAGAACAGTCTATGCTCCAGCCACTGTCGCGCAATCAGGTCCTTCTCAAACTTGTCTTTTGCTCTTGGGGTGAGGTCACTGAGTGCTCCTGCCCCTTTGAAAGAGGCTGGCTCGCCATTCTAGGTGCTGCTGGTCCGCCGGTATTGTGCTGGTTACCGCAGAGGATAACAACAGCAACAGGGAAGGCCGTGAAAGATTTTGGCTAAGCCACTTCCGCACAGACAGCAAATGACGTAGCGTTACTTGCTTGGAAGAAAACTGTTGTCCTAGTCATGAGATGTGTGACTGAACAAATAATTGATGGTCACTATTTCCAACATACGTGGAATTCATTCATTCCATTCATTCCTAAAAATGAATAAGCTTTACCAAAGTGTGCTGCAGGATTCACAATTTGCAACACCGCTTTTGGTAATGATAGCTTTGGGATACTGAGCAGTTTCAGCAGGTTGGGTATTTTTGTTGTTTTTTTGTTTTGTTTTGGTTTGTTTTTTTGCTGATCCAATGCTTTGAAGGTTATAGACTCATTTTAAAGTGCACCTCGTTAATCTTTTTTAAACTCTGCAATGTTAAAGAGAGATCAGCTGCCCATAAAAATGAAAAGGAAGACCTCAGCTTGTTTTTTTGTTCTAGTGCTCTTTTCAATGAGCAAGTGACACCAATTTGTCCTTATACACCAAGAGGCTGGACTACTGTGTCGTGAAAAGGAAAAACTCTCGGTGCAAGGACATCCAAGAAAGAGCAGAGAAAACACAGCACGGAGACAAGAATGTGCTACTCTCTGGTCAACATCATAATCAGTTCTTAGGAGTGCAACTCACTTCACATATAAATTTGAAAGAGTTAGAACGAGCACTAGTTTGCGGAGAACAGTGGTGTGAACATTGGGCATAAACTGAGTGTGAATCAAGTCACCAACTCGCATGACAGATGGCCCAGATTCAACCGCTGATCAGGGATATATGCTTGCTTCGTCCAAAAGAAAGGACAAACCGTAACCGTGGGAAATGTTGCAGCAGATGACTCACAATGTAGCGCCACTAAGGGTGTGTGAGGACTGGATGGTATCAGTCTAACAGTTATGACGTTATAATGCTGCAGTGTAATTCCTTAGCAGAAAAAGGCATTATATTTCAGTTTGGTAGCAGTTTATTATTTGCTAGACATAGAGAATCATTCATTCTTGAAAATCAGGGAATCAAAACTAGCACAATCAGTATACATACAAAGCAACAGCACAGAAAAAATATTGCAACTGAAGTTATAACTTGGCATCAACGTGAATTGCAACAAATGGATCTTCGTCAGTGTTACTAATCTGGAAATTGGCCATTCCATCCGAAGAAACATACACCTGCTTTCCAGTACACGCACTGCCTTCCTTATCTCCAGAAATAACATCGCAGTAGGTACCGGCAGGCAGCCCCGTTTGCAAATCGATGTTCATATACCTACGCAAAAAGTACACTGCTTAAAGCATGGCTTTCAAAAGAGGAATTTCAAAGCAGGCAAAGGACTGCTGAGCCTGATGCAATTCCGCTACTTGTGAGGATGACGCATCGCAAGGGATTTCTCAGTCTGAGGGCCCTGCTTCTCTAAACTCCCTTTGTAGCCCCTCACAACTAGAACGCAACCGTGTGAATCTAGCTCAGGCTGTAGCAGTTGGTCTCGCTGTCCGGAAAGGACAGGAGAAAATCAAAGCATACAGGCAGCTCCTTCAGCAGGATGCATGCGGTCAAACAGAAGTAATTAACCCCCTAACTGGGATCATTCACACCATTACGGTTGCATTGGCACGACTAGATTGGCTAGGGCCAGATGAGGGAAGTGATAAACTACCCTCTCTGCCCATAACCACCAGAACTTAAGCTGCTGATGCTTAGACCCCCGGGCTGTATCCTGCTCACAGCCTCGTCTTCTCTACTGTGAACTCATACGTAGCTGTCCCGGAAATCACTCACCAGTCGTCATTATTAAAGACAATGAAGCCTTTGTTGCCACGACCAAAAGCTACTTGATTGCTATCGTTGTCCCACCAGTTTGAGAAAGGCTGACCGTCTACCACGTTACGGAAGACAACCATGTTCCTGAAAATGCAAACAAGAGCTGTAGCTGCAGGACTTCTACGGCCACGAGGCGCGTGACCCAAGAGTCACTGCTTTTCCTACGTTTTCCTCCCACCTTATTTGTCGCCAGCGATGTTCACAGACCCAGTCGTTGCCACAGGTAGTGTCAGCATTGATTGTCACGGACTTTGTCGATCCATCCGAGTTACTTGGTGGTCCAACCCAGTCGTTGACATCCTTAAACGAAAAAAAACTTTTTAAAGAGCTTACTGGAAAATGTACAGAGAGTATCCCGAGAGAGAAGATAAATTCGGCTTCCAAAGTCCATCTGGCAGATCCAGCACAGGACAGAGAAATCATTTACGTTTGACACGCCAAAATCTTCAGCGCTACAAACTCACCTCTCCGTTCTCAAAATATCTTGGCCAACGATAACTTGACATCACCCGCGTGAACCCGTACGGATGAGCGAGCATGAAACCAACTGCCATTTTATAAAGCCTGTTGGACAGAAAATGTAACAGAACATGGAAAAGAACCGATGCCAAAGAAGCGACAGACCAAAAAAGAGAATAGTAAGCGTTATCATCCAGACACCGCCATTCCTCACCTGGAATCCCAGAAGGTAAGAATGGAAGCTCCGCCTGCCCCGTGCCCCCGCTGGTTGTCGTGGTTATCCACAAAGACCAGGGCTCTGTCAGAAGGCACAAAGCCCCAGCCTTCTCCCCAGTTCCTAGAGAAAAACACAAGGACTTGATTCTCCCCCCTCATGTCACGCATCCAGCTTATCTCACATCGGTCACTCGGACGTTCGCCCTTACTTTAAGTAGGCCATCTTCTCTCCATCCCACTTGCGGATCACCGTCCCCAGTTTTGCACCGTACTTGAACTCTGTCACTCGGCCATTTTCAAAGTATTGACTGCCTGTGATTGGCTCTCCTCCCAAGTCAATTACCTGGCATGGGAAAAAGTGTCACTTGTGTTTTAACAGAATGAATCAGTAATGCAGTGCACAGCTCTCACCATTATGTGTAGCATTAAATCAAGAAAAATGTATTGACGAGCACATTCATTTCTGCCAAGCGTATCAACCAAATTTGGATTAATTATATGTGATGAAATCATGTGGAAATGTGGGGCTTCACTGTTGTCCTAAACTGCAGCGTACCACCTCCTTGTTAGACTAATCCCCATGAAGATTTCAAGATGCTTTGCAGTTCTGAAAGGCAGGTGCCCGTGACCCACTGCACTGACAATCTTTCCTGGTTTGTAAGAACAAGCGCACATCACTACTTCCGTTCCTCAGAAGGGGTATAATAAAAAAGAAAGTAAACACAATACGTGGCAGACAAACAGGCAAAAAGGAAAAAAAAAAAAAAACGGAAATTACCTCTTGGAAAATAAAGGGTTTTGTTCCTTCTGAAAACCACTGAGTGTTTAGATTGTGCAATTTGGCCAGAAACGCACTTATGTCCCCAGGCCACATATGCTTGGCAGCATCGATCCGGAACCCTGCTACACCCATATCAATGAGGTGATTCATGTACTCTGCAATTGTTGAGCGTACATAGTCCTTCTCCAGAGCCAGATCAAGAAGGCTAGTCAACTTACAATCCCGGACCTGGGTAATTAAACACAGAAAAGGAAGAAAAAAAAGATCAAAATGGAGGAAAAGAACAGAATTGAAGAAGAGTAAAAAGGAAGAGAAAAATAGGAAACAAAAATAGAATTTTCACATTTCACTCCGTCTGCTTGTAAAACAAATGTCTCTCTGCGGATATCCCCTCCTCATTTGTTGACATGAAGGCTGAAGATGGGAACCAGGATGCTGTATCACAGCCCCATGGGTGAACGCTGAGCTGTGAACTTGACAAAGAACCATCACCCACGTCACGTCCAAACAGACCGACCGACACAACCAGGGCAGCATCGTGCACAGCTCCCAATTTTCCTGGGCTCCCTTAACAAGGGTAGTTGATTTCCAAAGTCCTAAGAAAGTGCCCGCTGGCAAAACTGAGAGGCTTGGGCTCAGTTGGTTCAGACGCATGCTCCTTCACATGCCCACGTGAAACATGGGTAGGGTTTGTGACTTCTCAGTGCCTACAGTACTGGGCAGCACAGGTGCGTTACCGGAAGAGAAGCCTATGATGTACACCACTGTATTCACTAGTAAGGGGACTAAGCATTCAACCCGAGATAAACTACTCCCTTTCTTTGGCTTTACTGTACACAACAAGATTTAAACAAGAAAAAATATCAAAATCGAAATCAACAGAAGTTACCTGATAGATGTCCCCATAATTTTCAATGTCTCCACTGGCGGTCTGACATTTGCCGTCGTTGAAATCCCAGGCAGAGTATGGCACCGCGGGAAAATCTCTAGTCCCGGTGTCGAAATAGCTCCCGCACGTTGAGTGGGTGCCTGTGCCACCCATAGATCCGCACATGTGATTGACAACAGCATCCACATAAATGCGAACCTGGAAAAGGAGCGATTGCGATTCAGTCTGTGCTGTGATGCTGTTGAAGCATCAGCCGGAGCTTTACCGCACCGCTGTCAGCGTGACCTTTCATCCACCTCCCCTTACTCTCCATTTAACCCTCCTTCGAGAATAGGAGCGGCAACTTTGCTCCACAGAAACCGCCCTTCTTAGCATATCGGCTATGCGTTTTCAAGGCACTTACTCCAACGTTGTTGCATCTGGTCACCATGTCTCTGAATTCATCTTCAGTGCCTGATCGACTGCAGATCTTGTAGCTGATGGGCTGGTACCTTTCCCACCAAGGCCGGTTCGGATTAGTAATGACAATGTTTTCATTTGGAGGAGAAACCTGTGGGTGAAAGGACGTACCTCAGTCAGAAATCTGTAGTTCCCATTTCACGTTTTAAGTGCAATAAGGTGTGCTCAGTGCTGAGATTAGTCTGTCATTTCCATAAGACAGTTCAGGTCTGCAAAATGTAAGTCTTGTAGACTGGCATCTAGGAAATTCTCCTTTGTTATCATGGATTGCCTGGATATGTGACATCCTTTGGACGGCCGAAACTCTGTATGTCTGTGTACTTGACTTGGTAGAAGAGAAAAACTTAGCTTTGTAAGCGAACGTATCAGAGAAAAGTAAGCCCTCTTGCAGGTGATCTGCAGCTAAACACACACTCATACCAGGCTGGCAGGATCTCCCATCCCTGCTTTGAACAAGAAAGTTACTTGGAACTCATTGTCTGCAATTCTGGCTATTTGGATTGTTAAGCAAATGCTGCAAAGCAATTTTACTGCCTGTGGGCAGGAAACTACATACCTGAACTCCTCCAAATCCATAAGGAGCTAAATAGCGTTCGCACTCCAGAGCAATATCTTCCCAGCGCCATTCAAAGAGATGCACGATAGACGTCCTCCCAGTCTGAGTGTTGGGGTCATACTGTGCCCAGCAAAGCCCTACAGCTGCGAGGAGGAGAAGGACTTGCATGGTGCCTTCAGCTTAAGGCTGATGGTCTTTCTGCTGGCCATTTATACTCCTGCAAAATGATAAAGTTCCTACTGCAGCTGACAGATTTCACAGAGATGAATGCTATCGGTTATTGTTTGTCTAGCTAACAGGGTATCCATATTCCCATTTGTTTTATCTTGAACTGCCCCACAGCTGAAGATAATGTGCCTTCTCCCAGTGTTTATACCTTATCATATACCAAGCAGTCTCTGAACAAAGCATCCAAATTTAGGATTATATTATTTCCAATAATGTAAACTAAGATAGTTCTACATTATTCAAAATGTGACACTTGGAGCTTGAAGAAGGGATTCCAGAAGATGGAAAGGGAAGGGAAAGGGAAGGGAAAAGGAAAAGAGGAAGGCACACTGACAAAAAGGTGAAGGGATTGTGAAAGGGCAGGGAGAGGGGAAGGAAAAGGGATAGGGCCAAGGGAAGGAGAAAGGGGAGGAAAGAGAAGGGAAAAGCACAGACAAAACAAAGGGAAGAGGAAGGGGAATAAGAAGGGAGAGGACTAGTGACAGTCTCATAGTTCTAAGAGAGGGAGGGAATTTGCCAGCAGCCAGAGACATCTAGCTCTCAGGATTAATCCGAGCTCAAACTTGTGCACCAGATCAGCCGCTGTCAGCCAACAGCAAATATATCACACATCATGCTGTGAGACTTTGAGGTCTGAATCTCACCGTTAGTTAGAAACCAGGCTTCTGTTCTTTTACTGTTATTGTCCCATGCTTGCTATGAACTCTTAATCAGTTTTTCAACACACAACCACACACGCTAAATGTTTCTCTACCTTAAAGTGATCAGTGTCAAGTATTTCCAACAGAGAATCTGCTTAAGTTTTCATGTTATTTTAAATTACCAATGATTTGTCTGAGTCAGATAAGGAAACCAGTATTGTGTGTAAAGAGGTACTGCAGATGAGTCTTTGTTGTCTGCCATAAAACGGAACTGAAATGCTGAATGGTTCTGTTCCCCTTTTCGCGTTTACCAAAATTTCCTGCTCCAGAAACCTTGCAGATTTTGCTTGTGACATGGTACCAGTTAATCTTTGGGAACTGATGTTTAACATAAAGGTCTCCATACAATGTGCCAGGAATAGACTAGAGTGAGGCCATTGGTAGAACAACACTCTGAATTCTAAGACCAGAAGCTTGGAGAATAACTGTGAGAAAAATACAAAGTCCACAAAGAAGCGCAGCCACTCCAGGAGAAAAGTATTCTAATTTCAGTTTGTTCCTGAACTGCCTGGAGTATGTTTTTCTCTGAAACGAGCCATGTCATTGAATGTGTTTCAGATACATCCCTCTCTTCTCCAGAGTTCATATTATGGGAAGAAGTATAGAAGTGGGGCTCATTTGGCCACCTGTTCATTTTTGTATCACAAATCTTATCAAAGGTCTCTTTTTCCATTAAAAAAAAAAGAAAGAAAACAAAGAAAAAAAAAAGAAAAAACCCGACATAAGAAAAAAAAAATAATAACAATAACAAAACAAAAACAAAAACAAAAAAAACACCACCTTTATTTTGATTAACAGCAGTGATGTATTTGACACTTGCTGATTGGTGGGAACTTCGGTTTGGGGACGGGGGGGGTGGTTCATTGGTGTCTACTGTCAGTATTGGCACAGTTTTAGATGGGAGCAAGAGGGAGTAAGGATTTCAATATCACAGGTAACACAACTCTCAGTTCCATTTTTCAAAACTATACACTGGCTCCACATATGACCTTGCCCACTTTCTAGGAGCAAGGAAATGCAGCTGATTACACTTTCTGATTGACAAGTTAGAACAAATCCATCGTGACTAAACATTACCAAGACTGACTAAATGTCTGAGGTCAATTTTTACAACACCATTCCATTTGAGTTGTACTGAGGTAATGGCAAGTGATTCAGCTGTTGAAGAAATCCCATGGTACACTGTGAAACAATTCCTATTGACTAGACCGGCTGACCAGGTACCCGAGTTCAAGCTCCGATGAATCCTGAGAGCTAGCTGCCTCTGAATGCTGGTGAATTTATTCCCCCTCTGACAGTTATGAGACTTCCAATTGCCTTCTAATTCCTTTCTATTCCTTTTACAGAGTCTCCTCATCAAGGTCCATGTGTCGTATTTTGCGTATCTTTTGATAGCTTAACTTTATTTATATGACTGGAAAGAATACAAACTCAAATTTGAGTGTACTGCTCACTAGTACCTGGACTATGATAAGATACGAACATTGTGAGAGTGTATTATATCTGCAGTCATGTGGCAATTCAGGAAAAGCAAGATACTCAGCTAGCTAGACAAACAGTAACTGATAGCTTTCATCTCTGTGAAAACTGTCAGCTGCAGTAGGAACTTTGTCATCTTGCAGAAGTATAAATGGCCAGTGGAAAGACCATATCTTATGCTGAAGGCACCCTGCAAGTCCTTCTCTCCTTGCAGCTGTAGGGTTTTGCTGGGCACAGCACAACCCCAACACTCAGGCTGGGAAGACGCCTTGCGTAAATCTTTTTGAATGGCTGTTCCACGCTCTGTCTGGACTTTCAGTGGTGGCAGATGTCATATTGGAAGTGGAGACATTGAAAATCCTGGGGACAAATTAGGTGGCAGCATTTTGAATTCTTTTTTTTTTTTTTTTTTTTTTTTTTTTTTTTTTTTAAACTTGCTGTATAAAGATTAGAGTAAAACCAAGGAAAGGGAGTAGTTTATCTCAGGTTGAACACTTAGTCACCTTACTAATGAGTGCAGTGGTGTACATCAGAGACTTATCTTCCGGAAATGCACCTGTGCTTCACAGTACTGTAGGCACATATAAGTCATGAATCTTCCCCATGTTTCACGTGGGCATGTGAAGGAGCATGCGTATGAACTGACTGAACACGAGCCTCTCGGTTCCGTCAACTAGCTCTTTCTTGCAGCTTGTGAAATCAGCTGCTCTTGTTAAGGGAGCCCAGGAAAATTGGGTGCTGTGCACGATGCTACCCTGGTTGTGTCGGCTGGTCCATTTGGACGTGACGTTGTTCTTTGTTGACGTTACAGCTCAGCGTTCACCCACGGGGCTGTGATACAGCATCCTGGTTCCCATCTTCAGCCTTCATGCCAACGAGATGAGAAGGGGATATCCACTGAGAGACATTTGTTTTACAAGCAGACGGAGTGAAATGTGAAAATTCTTTTTTTGTTTCCTTTTTTTTACATTTACTTTCTCTACCTTGTTACTCTTCTTCAATTCTATACTTCTCCATTTAATTTTTTTTTTATTTTTTTTTTTTTTAACATTGAGGGTGATGGAGCACTGGAACAACCTGTCCAGGAGGATTTGCGAAGTCTCCTTCTCTGGAGATATTCAAAAGCTGTCTAGATACTTTCTGTGTGACCTACTGTAGGCAACCTGTTTTAGCAGGAGGACTGGACATCTGTGATCTGCAGAGGTCCTTCTCAACCCCTATGATTTTGTGATTCTGTGATTTCAGGGATAATCAGTGGTACAGTCACATATTTATTCTATATCCAAAAACGTCATTAAGATCAAGCAGAAATTGGTATGAAAAGAAAAAAACAAAAATAATTGGAATTCAGATCAGAATGATCAGATATAGTCACGATTTTTGTGCATGCATATTTTCCTTAAAATATGTGAAATAATGACTTGTATCTTTACTGAGTTCTAACCACCTGTGTGGAAGGTGCCTGAATGATTTAACAGACAAATGGACTTTTAATTCACCTTTATCTTAACAAAGTCAATAATTTTTACGGAATACCAATTTATTTTACACAGTAAAATGCCTGTAGACTGAATTCTCCCCACTCCCTTCTACTCATCAAAAATGCCAGAAACTGCAGTTCTTTTTAAGCAAATGTGATTTTTGTCTTCTCCCCTCACTACCTTGCTGCTATAGACTTTGTTTCCACGTGGCTACTCTGAATATTTACAGTATTGCAAGGCGACCTCAGATTTGGATAGGAAAGAATGAAAAAATCCAATTTCTCACCCAAAAGGATCTTAGCCCAGCCACGGGCCACAGACCGTGCTGCAGGATATTCTGGAGTTCAGGGATTTCAGCAGGAGACAACATCGCTGCCGCAGCTCAGTGAGTACTACAGCTGATTTTGGCGCAGAGCGTGGAGTTAGGGAGCCGCTCTGTGAGCGCTTAAAATACCGATACTGTGTTTGGAGAATAACATATGGAGCCTGTTGTTGTTGCTTTTTTATCTGCTTGTTTGTTTTTGGGGAGGAACGCGGCACGGAGCGGACGCATTCCGCACCGCAACAGGGAACCGCCTCGGCTGCTTGACGGGTAGCCCGGCCAGCGAGCGGCTGCCAGACACCGCTGCTCCCCGCGTGGCAGCGGCGATCTGACACCGAAGGGGCGGAGCCAGGAGCAGCGGCGAGCCACCCCCTGCGTGTATAAAAGCTGCCGCTAGGGAGTGCGGCGAGCAGGGCGGGGTAATGTCATTGCCCGCTGTCGGACCGGTCGCCTATCGGCCGTCTCGCGGGCAGCGTATCTCGCCGTGCTCTGCACCAGGGAAAAAGGCTGGTGAGAAAGACGGTGGCGACTGAAACAAGTCTGTGCCTAAAGAAGTGGAGGTTCAAGTCTTTTGCTGCAGCACCTGAGTCTACTGCTGCTGGAGAATAGGGGCAGGGATTCTGCCTGTGTGAGGAGGTGGGTGACCTACTCTTATGGTGGTGGAACTCGAGAAGGATGTTAAGAAGGTAAGGAGTATCAGAGTGTGTGAGTAGGGGATAGACTTGTGTAATCTCTGCAAGAAAGACACTGGGGTGATAATTGGAAGACAGTAATGGATGCCCTGCCATTGCTGAGCAGAGTGAGGAAATTTGAGAGAAGAGGAGGTGTGAAAATAGGTCCTGGCTAGGTAATGTAGGTAACTGCCATCCTGAGCAACCCCAAGTGCTCAGGATGCTTGGTTGGCTCCCCAAGTGCCTTTGTGAAACAGGTTTGAGGCCCTGGAGCTGTCAGTGAGGGTATGGTGGGAGGTCTGCTCACAGGGTTGTTTTGGGTGA